TTAAACCCCAGCGGCATCACTCGGGTGTATCCCACGTCACCAACATCATACGGGTGTATTAAACCCCAGCGGCATCATCGGCTGCATCCCACGTCCAAATCAATACGGGTGTATTAAACCCCAGCGGCATCACTCGGGTGTATCCCACGTCACCAACATCATACGGGTGTATTAAACCCCAGCGGCATCACACGGGTGTATTCCACGCCACCGGCATCACACCCGTGTATTCCACATCACCGGCATCACAAGGGAGTATTCCACATCACCGGTATCACAAGGGTGTATTCTACATTACCGACATCACATGGGTGTATTCCACGTCACCGACATCAAACAAGCGTGTTCCACATCCAGAGCACCTCACGGCAGTCACTCGCGCTGCCAGTCACTCGGCGCTGGCCGTCACGGGCCCCCCCCCCCCCCCCCCCAAACCCTGGCCGGGTCATGGCGGCGCGCCGCCGACGCCGGGCAGCCCCAGACCAGGGCTGTAGCCACGCAAACGGTCCAGCACCAGGTCCAGCGTGGCCACTGTCTCGGCACTCCTCCGGCGTGCACCACCACGGCTGATGGCCGGCCCTTTCGGTGCAGGGGTCACATTCCACGGTTACCTCTGGCCGGCTGATTTCTTACATCGGCGACGTCAAAGTTCAGCAGATATTTGTTTGCACGTCCGTTATCAGCGACACAATCTCCTCTTCAATTGCAGGCCTTCAGCCCCCCCCCCCCTCCCCACTTCCGCCATAACTTGGGCTTCATTCCCGTTCCCCAGCTTTGAGAGTAAAGTGGCAAATGAAAGTGCGGAAAAGTAAAGTAAAGTAAAATGCGGAAATGAGTCAGGCTGTTGACATATTTTATTGACCAACTTCGTCCTTTTCGGCACTTGGTGCACCTCTCTGTCAGCATACTTCGTTAAAACTACGCCCCTGGGGTTATCATTTTATTAATAAAGGCACTCTTCCCGCTCTCAGAACATAAGCGGCCGCTCATATTACATAGAGGCTCACTACATGGGAGCACCTTCTCACCTGCCCCACGATTTGGGTCGCCTTTGGGTCCTTGGGACCAATTGCACATCCCTGCCCCGCCGTGGTCTGCGCAGGGCGCCCATAAGAGACAATGGCACTGCAGCCCTGCCATGGCCTCTGCAGGGCGCCCTATAAGAGACCATTGCACATGCAGCCCTGTCATGGCCTGTGCAGGGCGCCCTATAAAGAGACCATGCACCATGCAGCCCCCCGCCGTGGTACTGTGCAGGGCGCCCCATAAGAGCCATTGCACATGCAGCCCTGCCATGGCCTGGACGGACGAGGACGAGTGGGAAGCAGCAAAGGCGGTCTCAAGCAGGCTGCTGCAGGGGACAGAGGCAGCCACAGGCAGACTGCTGCCGGTGGCAGAGGCGGAGGCAGCCTGCTGCAGGTGGCAGAGGGCGGCCCAAGGCAGTCTGGTGCAGGTGGCAGATGTGGACCGAGGCAACCTGCTGCAGGTGGCAGAGGCGGACCGAGGCAACTGCTGCAGGTGGCAGAGGCGGCCGCAGGCAGGCCACGTCCGACAGCGGTGCTCTCGGCTGCTGCCTGGAAGGCCTCGGACCCCGCTCCGACTCAGGTCGGTGCCGGCCTCTGCTCACACCGCGACAGCGACCACAAGCGACATCGTCACCATATGTGGTCAGACCTGTGGGGCCATGCCAGTGGCCAGGTCACGGTGTGAACCAGGCCGAGCAGCTGATAATTGGGCTCAATCGGTTCTCGTCATAGAAAACCTCTCTGCCTCCTCCAGCGTTGCATGCCGTGCCATAGTTGCCAGAGGTGTAACTACGTCTTTTTCCGACGCCTCATAATTCACTTTACGGAATGGGCGCCAAGAGGCCAAAGTGCTCGTCTCATGCGCGAAATGATGAAAGCACACACTGAATTTTAGCTTCCACACACGGTACAAGAAAACATACTGATTCATGAACAAGCACCAATACTAAGCAAGCAAACACGTCAAACTATTCCATTATCCCTTAAGAACAGCATCGCAAATAAGTCGCACAGACAAGAAGCAGTCAATGACAACACCGCGTGGGGATTGGTCATTGACATCCAGTATTGCGATTTTTATTTCGATTTGGAATACAGGCGTGTATCTTCTGTGGAGTGTAGAAATATATTTGTTTAGCAGGCCAAAATT